AATGTATAAGGGCATTTTTGCTGATCTTGACAGTCACACCATTGATAGAAAACATTGTAATAGTATTATGCTAGCTTTCCTACTCATTAATCAAAGAAATGTAAATATTGTATCATTGCAGGAGGAGGAAGAGGAACACCGAGTGAAATATAGCATGACAGCGATAGAAGAAGAAAGTGATGGACACTCGTCAGACGGATCATCCTCTGGCGACATGTCACAAAAATTACGAGTACCTATAGCTGGTGGTTCATGGTCATTAACGACAAGAAAGAGTCAGCCGTTGTTACAGATCAACGAAGAAGAAGAGCGTGAGTACTGTTTAGAAAACTTATCATGAATGGAAATATTCACAAAGCTATCATATATGTTTTAAGTTGCATTCCTATTTAGTGTGGAATGAAAATGACTGTGGGGCTTATACACCCAGATTCAGCACTTTTTTTTGTGATTATTTTGTAGACCTTTACTGCATGATTTCTAATACTTGTCTTATGTTGTTCTTTCAGATGACTCTGATGAAGATATATTAATCGGCAGTCCGTTGATGAGGATGAGCTCGCTTAATTCAAATGGATCTCCTGAACTCTTGCGACAGAAATTTAAGCAGCCGAAACTGAAGCCAGCAAATCCAGGGAGAGCCACCAATTATAGTTCATCAGATGCCAGTGATGACGACACTGATAATCGACGGCGTTGCGAACATGATATCATCCGGCGGAAACACAGGCGTGGTAGCAGAGATGGACCTCCTGGGGGTGGCGGCAACAATGAGGGGAGTAACAATCAGGCCGCTAACCACCATAGCGTATCTTCCAGTGGCGCTACCAGTAATGAGAAGAAGAGTGCGTCTAACAAGACTGTAAACAACAAAGGAACAAATAACAAAGGGAAGAAGAGTAACGAAGTGCGAGACAGTTTGAAGACTAGTAATCTGAGTGTTAATTCAAATTGTAGTTCTAATTTCAGTACGAGTAAATATGTGATTGACCCCAGCAACACAACACCAAGTGATTCAGATGAACAGGCAACTGAAAATTACCAGAATCGAAAAATATCCTGGTCTAAAAAAGATTTTCCGGATATTTCGGAAAGTAAAATGTTAATCCTTCCAAAGGAGGAGTACACTCAAGAGGAGAATTTCAAAGATGAGGAGAAAACGTCTGGAAAATCTAAGATCGGTTGTACGTGTATGTGCGGACGTTTTAGTAACAATAAGGAAATTAATAGTAACTCAAAGAGCAGTGACGACTCGCGGAAATCCAATGTACATAGTAGTCAGTGCAGCTTACATCATGGGGGGCAAACACCGCGAATGAATCAAAGTAATTGTTGTCGGCTCATTTGACTAGAACCATCCCTATGATATCTTGACATCGCACAATTTTTTTTTTTCATTTACTCATTTCCAAAAATGTTTTTAAAACAAAAATTCCATTTCACATCGTGCTTGCCGTCTTATTTGGATTTTTAAGAATACATTTGTGAATAAGTTTTTAAAACAAGGTTACCGGTAAATCCTTTAACAGATTGCCAAAAAATTGACAGTATTGAGGCAACTTTCCAGATGTTTTTTTTTTCCTGATGGTAACATCAATTTTTAAATAATTTATTGTTTGTTGTGCATGTTACCACCTCTCATACCATGTGGTTTCTTTATGTTTTTGTCATAAAATTTGCTTGTAAGCTTGTATTTATTTTCAATTTGCTTTTGAGTTATTTTTTTTTAATTATTATATATATTTACCAGTAGTTCCCCTTCGGACTAAAAATAGGAAATTTGGATTGACCACTGTACGTCCGTCCATGCATCATGAGAGACTTTTATGATCCAATTAAAGATGGCCGAATGGCAACTATTTTTATGCTTGAAAATTATCAAAATCAAGCAATTCCACCATTTTGGAACTGGGTCTTGGTTGCATATGCATGAATTTTATTCAAACTAGATAAATACATTGAACATAATGGAACTTTGACATCATTTAGTTTTCTAAATCTGATTCAGAATGGCTGACTGGTGGCCATTTTATTTTTACAAAATCAAGCATTTCTGCCATTTCTGATTTTAATCGTGTAAGAATGGTTTTCTTTCAAACTTTGTGCATTCATTGAACATTTTGGGCCGTTGGTGCATGTTATTTTGCTTTTCATTTCTTCATCCAATGTTAATTTATTTAATGGCACTAAACAAAACAGGGCAACAGGCTGACTAGGGTGGTAGACAGTTAACGATAGTCATAACACCTAATGGCATATGTAAACATATTCAGGTCGTTTGCTTATCGTAATTTATTGTTCTATTTCTATCACTATAATTGTTCTTCAAAGTATAATTCAAAAAGCTTGTTTCACCTGTCTTCAAGCCGTTTTGTATTTTAACTACAACCCACTTGACAATTTATCAGGATTGATGACGATAACATTTCACTGTCTTAAAGTTGTATCATCTGCTGAATTATTTGAAAGCCTTCAACATATGTAAGCAAAATGAGCTGTGAACCAAAGTCAGTAGCTAGTTATGCATGTCAGAACCTGGCTGATTTATTTATTTTTTACCTGGACAATCTAAAATTCTGCTTTTAAACACACTCAACACAACTAACTAAGTGTTTAATGTTCACTCGGACAGATGTTATGAGTTCTCATATACATGTATAATGTGTATATAAAGACATAAGAAACAGGACAAGGAAACATAAGGGATAGGTGGTCATTAAGCTAATCCTGAAGGGAATTTTCATGAATTAAGAAGACCACATTAGAAACGTTGGGTTGCGTGTCTGATTTAACCACAGCTGAATCTGTTTGCAAACATCTTCTGACCGGGATATCGTGTGAATATCGTAATTTCAGTTTTAGTATTTGGCATCTACTAATTCGTACGTCTAAAGCTGCACACAAAATATATCTGATGATACAATAGGAAGGGCAGTTCACTGCTAACAAATTGTTCAACTCATAAAAACGTCCCTCATGAAATTAGAGAAGTTTTTATAACCAGGTATTTACTTTATAAGCACATTATTTACAAACTGAGTAAATATGTTGAAACTCATTATAAAATATTACAAAGTAATAGAAAGAACAAACTTTTGGGATTTAAGTGATTTGAAATGTAACTATTTATATCTAAACCATTGTATTTTCACAATATTTTTGGAGTGAGGGAAAATTTTGTAGCAGTGAGTATTCCTTAGTTTGATTCTTAAACTTTAAAAATCATTTGTGAAATGTTAGTTTTGAGAACACCAGGATTGGAGGTGCGTTACTTTTACGCAACATTGCATTGTGTGATATGTATGTGTGAGCAAGCCCCTCTAAATCTGCCCCTCAAAACCCTAATATTATTCATCGTTACTTTTTTTAGTACTACCAAATTATGAACATTTTGATGATTTACATTATTTGTTCTCTGTTATTTGGCAAACCGATTTGGTGAAATAATGATTCTTGGATTGTCTGTAATGATTGCAGACAGTAATACTGATGATTACAAATATCCTTGTGTTGAAATTATGTTCTTAATTCCAAGAAAATACTGCAGTTGTATATTTTTCAATAGTGTCTTCAATTCTGTTTTTTTTTTTTTAATTTTGTCTCTTATCACTTATGTAATTTTTATGAATCTATCATTCATTACTTTAACTGTTCCACTGAAATGAATGTACGTCCTGTTTCTAACAATTGGAGTTAGATTGGGTGTGGGCGATAACAACACAAATAATGTTTGTTAGATGTGTCCTGTGTATCTGTCAGTAGTATATGTTAAATTATGAACGGATCAATAAGCATGAGCAGTTTGGTCTTTGGTTGACTTTCAACGTGAATTATCTTAGCTGCAGATTGGATTGGCTGGGTCATACCATGTATGCCACGGGTAACTTTACTTCACCAGTTTTCACTGGTACCAATTCCATTGCTTGGTTTGTTGTGTCATACCATACATGCTATTTGTTTTTAATTGGATATCATAAATCAGCTGATTGTTTTTTAATTATTAAAAAAACGCTCATCAGCAGGTTTTAACCTGCAAAATGTTTTCACCAATATATTATGACCTTAGCTTGTTTTTGAACCAATCTACAAATGTGGAAAAAAAAATTCTGTTAGTGGAGTTAGAACCCCGAACCCCCCCCCCTCCAGTTATCCCCATCATAAATAAAATGGTATGAACTTGTTTTAATGTAAGTAATTATTAATTTACTGTACAAAAACTGAAGGTGATTATTATCAGACTGAAATAGACTCGTATAATCCAGGGACAGAAAATCTGCCCTTGTAAACCAGTTCTTCCCAGGCTAGTACTAACATGACCTCTGGTCTATGACCAGCATTTTGCATCTAAATATATATTATATATTTTATATGTACACTAATATACGTTATATGTACAGTACAGTTATATGTTGTAAAAAAATACATTCATAACTTTGTATATTGTACAGCAGTGGGTTATGGGTAATAAAACTGCCGTATGAGGGCTATCTCTATGTACTTAACTAGTTTTTCATTGCATTTGTGGAGCCACTTCACTAAATACTGAAATGTGACAATGTGCAATTTCTGTGTTTTTTGCATTGCTTCAAAATGGGTTGCAGTGAGGGTTCTTGTTTTTTTTTTGGACTGATCATGGGTTTACGGATTTTATGTTTACTTAAATATTTTTTAGTCTTGATGAAGATAAATCGTTATACGTGTATATATTTATCACAGCATAGAACTTTGAAACATTATTATAGTACTAAACTGACTACCTTTAATTTCCACACACTGGATTTCATCTATTACTTCATTGTACTTACAATGTTTTGTAAATCAGGCCACATATTGCGCGACATCCTACAACTGGCTTTACTCTAGTCAAACAGTGTGTGTGTGCTACAGTATTAGCCATGTGGAGGTGCAGTCATCCCAGAGAGAAAAACATCCTGGCCTAGGAGGGGTGTGACTTTTGTAAAGTACTGTAACTGTGGAACTTGATACTCTAAGGAGAGGAAGTTGGATTTGTTGTAGGGAGTCCTTTTGAAGGTATTCATAAAAGCCTTCAAAATTTGTGAACATTTTTAACAAAAATTATTAATATTTTATGGCAGGGGAAATATTGCTTTAAATAGCGTCTGATGTTTACACACTCTTAAGTCTTGCTCCCCTCTTCAATACGTACCTACCGATATTTACTCCATGTTTTGTAACAGTATATTTATTATTTGTAAATACGTTTTTGTACATGTTTTATTTTGTGTGTACGAAGGACAATGTTGGGAAAAAAAGAACAGGTATTTTTAGCTCTTGTACGCTACTTCCTAAGGTAGTTTTATAATCGTTGCCAAAATATAATAATATGAACAATGATTTTATGAAATCTACAGTGACAAGTAATTACTTTAGAAGAGAAATAAATTTTGATATAAAAATATGTAAAGTTTGTGTCTCGAGTTATTTAGTACAAAAATTACGCTATCCATCAAGGACAACTAATTTGTAGGTGGTTTTAGCAAAGATAATGTGAGATCTGACATTGGAATGTGATAGAAAGAATGTATGTAACATACTTTGGTATTGTTAGATAATGATTTGTATAAAGAACCACACAGCTAATG